TGGAGTTGGTTCTGACTGAATGATACATAATAACAGCAACAATTTTCTCATTTGTGGAGTGTTTGGGCCCATTGTTACTCAAGGCTTTTCCACCCCAAAACTGTGATGGGCCCTCTTATGTTCACTGGTTAGAACTTTGCTGTTTAACAAAATAAAAAGCCTGCATTGTGAAAACTCTAGGTTCTTGCCGCCTTTTCCTTTCTGTCTCCACCCCACTTCATTTTCAGGGAAAACTCAGTGAGATACATGGTTCCTGGTGGAGGCTGAGTGCTTAGAAACCTTTACTCAAGAGGACTTAAAAATATTTCCCTTTACAGTGGCTCTTCAGCTAGCTGAAACAGAGATGTACGTGGTGGATAGCTGAAAGGTCTAGTTCAAATGCAAACTCATTGACGGGAAAACAGAGGCCATGGAATAGATCGATGTTTATAGGACACTAAGGACTGTGTTCATACCTTTCAGTCTCAGTTTTCTCTTCTTTATAATGAGAACAACGTCTTGAAAGGTATGGTGAGGAGGGTACTGCTAGCTGTGCTAGTGTTTCCTTCTTGTCCCACGACAGCTGTGCCATGTTACAGGTGAGGGTAGTAGTGCTGGAGGAGTTCCGCTCCTAGGCAGTGATTGTCACAGAGCTTGTAGTGGGTTGGGCAAGAATTCACGTCAACGCTTTTTGGCTAACCTTTTCATAATATTTTTGTGCTTTCTAGCCTTGGCTTGTGGTATATGGCAGGCGTACGATTATTGTTGGTTAAAGGTTTCTTAATAGGTGCTTGGTAGGGAGAGAAGACCCAGGTGATGGTTGAGGGCTCTAGGTCAAGGCAAATGATCTGTGCACCCAGGCTTAGCAAGGTTTCAAGCTTGGGTCATGCTGTGCTATTGCAATTTTGAAATTATTATTTTCATTTTGCACCAAGTCCTGCAAATTATGTGGCCAGTGCTGCCTAAAGGCTGAGAGGAGACGAATAGTGGATGGTAGTAAGAGCATGCAGTTGGGGTTACCGGTTTTGGAAGCCTAATCTGTAGTAGTTATCACAGAATCAAGCAATTGTGTGCCACCCAGAAACACGAGTCTCCACCAGCACTGCTAATAGTGGCAGCAAAAGATAATTTTGGTGGACTTTTCATCAGGACAGCAGGACAGGAATGCAACCCCAGGAGAATTCGTCAGAATTTTCCCTGGTGAGTAGTGAGTCCCAGGCCCTAGGTGGATGCACAACGTGGGGGAAGGCAGTAAGCAGGTTACAGAGCCTCAGTTTGAGCAGGTGACCATCCAAGAGTATCATTGCTTTTGCTGACGATGATGGTGTTGGTTTCCTGTGGCTGCTGTAACAAAGTGCTAAAGTCGGATTCATTTAAAAGAACAGAAATTTGTCATCAAACAGTTCTGAAGAGACTAAAAGTTTAAAATCAGGGTGCTGGAAGGGCTGATGGTTCTTGTAAATCCTTGACATATAGATGGCAAAATTTTGTCTCTGCCTCCATCTTCACTTACCTTTTTCCTTGCCTGTCTCTCTTTTTTTTTCTTTTTCAGAATGACACCATTCACATTGAATTATCGCTCACACTACCTCAGCATGACCACAAGTTGGGTGTGTGTGTGTGTGTGTGTGTGTGTGTGTGTGAACTCACTCATAGGGATGAGTTTGGCTCCAGGCCCAAAGGGCAGTTATGGGTGAAAATCTTGGGGGTTCCCACCAGTCTCATGTCAAGTCGGTAGTAAGCCTGGCTGTATTGTGATGGTGAGTTTTGTGCCACCTTCATCTCCCACTCTCTGTAGGACTTTCTGTTGCGATCTGTTTTAGAGTGATTAGTGATGTAGCCAGGCCCCTTCTAGTTCTTCTGATCATGGAAGTTGAGGATCATGAGGTTCATTGTTGCTATGTACTAATTGTTTCCATCGTCTTTGAGTTTCTTCACTCTTTTAAGCTTCAGCGAAGGAAGGACCCATGGTTGCACTGTAGAAGGATCCTTTCAAGTTTTATCGCCGCTATTAACCACCATCAGGAGAGCTCTGGGTGGCTTGTTGATGTTTGTTGTTGAGTACCATTGAGCCCAAACCCACCCAAAGCTGACCCTCCAGAGGGTTTTCAGAGGCTGTTAATCGCATGGGAGGAGATTGCCCATCCCTCTCCCACGGAGCTGCTGGTGGATTCAAAACACATGCCTTGAAGATTGCAGTGCAGTTTCTTACCACTAACCCACCGAGAACTGTGCCGCCAGCGCTAAGGTATACAGGTTGAATCCACCAGCTGTTCCACGAGGTCTCTTCCCATAGAGTATACAGCCTCCAAACACTCACTGGAGGTTCAGCTGTGGGTTGGTTCTGACTTGATGGTCCCCAACAACAGTTACCACAGCTGTCCAACTTTCACATCCACAAGAAGCAACTGGAAAGACCATGTATTGGCCCAAGTTAGTCTATCAACTGAAATTCTTTCTCAGTAGCATTTCACAGGGGTCTTTGACAGCAAGTTTGTCTTCCCAGTGCCGTATGTCTTTTGATTTCTTGGCTGCTGCTTCTGTGGGTGTTGATCGTGGGTCCAAGTGAGATTGACAGCTTCATTCTTCTCCATCCTTCATGATGTTGCCTGTTGGTCCAGTGGTGAGGCTTTGGGTTTTTGTTGAGGTGTAATCCTTATAGAGGGCTGTTGTCTTTGTTCTTCAGTGAGTACTTTAAGTCATCTTCATTTTTTATGAACACAGTTGTGTCAGCACCTTTTTTCAGGTGACACCACTGTGGATAACGGTGTACTCATACAGTATTTGTCCAATGCATGTGAAAGATGGACAATGAATGATGAAGACTGAACAGGAGTTGATGCCTTTGCATTATTGGTGTTGACAAACAAGTCTGAAACAGACTAAGGACTGCCAGAAGAATGAACAGCTCTGTCTTGGAGGAGGTGCAACCAGGATGCTCCTTAGAGGCAAGGATGGTGAGCACTGGTCTCACCTACTTTAAGCACGATGTCAGGAGGCCTCATGTCGGGAAAAGGAGAGGGTCATTAAAGGAGAGGAAGCTCCTCAATGTGATGGATGGACAGTGACTGCAGCAGTGGGCTCACGCATGGCAGAGGTTGTGAGGGTGACACCGGACAAGGTGAGATTTCCATCTGTTGTTCACAGAGTCACTGTTAGAGCTGTAGAGTGTACAACATTGTCCTTGTGGACGTTTTCTGTCAGTTGACCTTCGTATCTATCTGGGCTGTGATCATGAGGCCCTATGACCAGTGACCTGTTTCCTCCGGGTGTTTAGTTAGGTTGAGAGGTTTACATACCATTGGCTCCTGTTGGCTTTCCTGTCCACAAGGTGCGTTTGCAGCATATAGAAGTCATCGTCTGCCAGACTTACACATGATCATGAATGAAGTCCCAATGACTTGACCGTGTCTGTTCATCTTTCCTGTCTGCCGATGTATCTACTTGTGGGTTAATTTTTTTTATTACTGGTATTGTAGGGTAGTGTGTATAATGAATGGTCTATGGCTGATACTCTTGTGTAGCTCTTTGTGTCTTCTTTTACTTCTGTGCTATTATGCTTATCTGTCCTTATTTCATGTAGCCTTCCTTTCACTTTGATTACAAATTCCCTTCCCTTTCTCCTCCCCTCCCGTTCCCGGTAACTGTTCAAGAATGTGTCATTCTGTTTGTACACTTCTCCTTAGCTTTTTGGTTATAGTGAACTCATACAGTATTTGTTCTTTTGTAACAGATTTATTCCACTCCCCATAATGTCCTCCAGGTTCATCCATGTGAGACGGTATGTCACAAACTCCTCTTTAATATCTTTAAAGACTCTTATTTCCAAACAAGGCCACATTCACAGGCTCCGGGGGTTAGGAAGCTCTGCTGGTGTAGTACATAGGGAGTTTTGCAGCCAACCCCAAGGATGAGCCTCTCTGGTGGTTCAAATTTGTCAGTGACTCTGAGGAACAAAGATGGGTTTTTTCTCTTGTGTGATTGATAACTTCAGAGTCCTGCTGGAGAGTCAGCTATGAGCTGGTTGTATCTCAACAGCTACAAATTTTTGAGGGGTGAAGACTTCTACGTATCTTTCAGGGAGACACGTTCCAACTCAGTAGAGTGGCAAAGTGTGGTACCAGCCGTGATGCTCAGCGACCTGAGTTTGGAGTCTTTGGAAGCTTCTAGAAAGAGCTTTCCTTTCACTTTCTGCCTGGTCTTTTGTTTGTTTCCATTTTAGTGCTGGCCACATAGGAGCTCAGAACCAAATGTTGATGTGCATGGAGTGTGTGTTTTGTTTCAGATACTATAGTGTGTGCTTCCTATATGCATCATCCTATTGATTCTTGGAGCAACATTATGGAGGATGTACCATGGTTGTAAATGAGGAAGTAGAAGCTCTGAGGTTGAGCTAATTGCCCAAGTTTGCATAACCAGTAGATGGTATAGCTGGGATTTATTGAAACCTCTTTGACTCCAGATTATATGTTAATCTCTACTGTCTTAATAGCTGTGTTTCTGGTTTTCACAGTTGTGCCTTTTTGCCCCTTTGTATATTATATTATTAAAAAATTATTTGAGACTTCTTGTGTAAGCCAGTCTTTCTTAATGAGGGCACCTTGGCCTTTGTCTGGTTCCTAGTGTGCTCCCAATCAGAAACGAGATTCCAGTTGATAGAGAGTAGCAACCGAGTTCCGTGTGGGCCCCTGGGCATGGCTGAGAGCCGGAGGAGGTCCTAGAGCACACTGGTTGTCAGACCAGAAACTGTCAGTCAAGCTCTTGGGAGATTTACTTCCTCCTCACTCTGCCTGAGCATTTTCTTGCTGCGTGATCAGAAAGGCCCAAGTCAGCCAAAAGGCTTCCTCTAATTTTTCCTGGCTCTGAGGTAACTTTGGTTTCAAGATTCAGAAGCCCAGCCTTCACATGTCTAGGCCTGAATATCTCTTTTGTGCTGTTTCTGAAGGTAAGCGAAGCTGAGTTGGCTCTCCCAGGATGAACTGTAGCTCCAAGACAAGAAAGTAGAAGCCCAGCTGACTGTCATGGCCTGTGAAGCACAGATGGACCCTGGTGGGGCAGCCAGCCCCCTGGCCACCTCCGCCCCTGGCTGGAGTGCCCTGCCTGGAGGAAGCACTGCTGGCTGGGGACAAGGTAAGGTCATGACCTTTCACCTAGCCTGAGAGCCAGAGTCGAACTCACACAAGAATGACGGCTTGGTGTGGGGTCTGGAAGTGCCTTCAGATAAATGTTGGCATTTTGCTGTGCATTTCCAAGTCACCCCAATTCTTGCCCTTTCTACTCTGTTTTCTCTGTCGCCATCTCCTTGGACCAAGCCATTGTCACGTGCTGTTTGGAGCCCTGCTATAGCTCGCCAGCTGGCCTCACCTTGTCCAGCCCTGCTCCTTCCATCCATTCTCTCCATGACAGTCCTGTGTATATCATTCACATCTGACTGTGCAGCTCTCTGCCTCAGTGTTTCCCACTGGGCTTAGTGTCGAGAGCCATCCTCCACCAGCTTAAGTGACCTGCCTGGCTGGCCGCTGCCACCCCTGTTCCTTATCGTGCCTTTGCACCTGCTCTACCTTCTGCTTGGTGCGCTCCTTCCCTGCCTCTGTTCCTCCTTTCACGTGCTTAATTTCCATTTATCCTTCAGGGCTCAGCTTAGGTATCCATCCCTTCTATGAGAACTCTGGTTTTGCTGGCCCAGTGCAAAAAAAGTAGTAGTACTAGTAGCAGTAACGCTAGTAGTACTTTATATTTATCGTCATATTATTTGTCAGAATTTGTCCAACTTCCAGGGGAGTAATGTGAATTAAGATCAGCCCAAGGCTGATAACCTCTGCATGCCGTGGAGGCCAGACATACCTTTACTTTCCAGTGTTTTTATTTTTATTGTTTATTATTATTATTAAAAACATGTATAGGGATACAAGGGGGTGAGGGTTGGGGGCAGAAGAGTGAAGATGGGTAGGGTTGAAATCACAGGGCTGCACAATTAGTGGGTGGGGGGAGTGGGTAAAGGAAGTGAGAAAGATCCAGCAGGGACCAGAAGGGACAGGACAATGGTGAGCATAATCCAATGGTGATTTTTTTTTTTAACAAAGAAATTGTCTTATTCACTTGTGGGTTTCTCATTTGGGAATGGAGTACAGACTCTCTGGCTTCTTCATGCTGAACAGGGGTATTGATGTAAAGGGACGCTTTTTTTTTAACCCAGTTCCAACCCTCGCTGTCCCTCTCATCTTCATACAACAATCTGCTCTTACTGTTGTTGTCTACCTCTGAGTCAGAACCGACTTACAGCTGACCCTCTAGTGGGTTTTCAGAGGCAGTAAATTGCATGGGAGGAGATTGCCTGTCCTTCTGTCATGGAGCAGCTGGTGGATTTGAACCACCTGCCCTGAATTGGTAGTGCAACTCCTTACCACTAAGTCACTGGAGCGAGATCTCATGGCCCTCTACATGTCTGATAATCCATCACAGTGACCACGAAGAAATGAGATACTTAGAGTTTAGTGGTTTGCAGAACAAGGTGATAACCTAGTAAGAACAACCTAGCATTATGATCAGGAAGTATGCAGGCAGACACCCTTCTTTTGTGCATGATAGTTCTCAGCTCTTCTTGATCGTACGGGCCTCCTAAGTGGCACCCCACCTCTGTGCCCCAGGAGAGGCCTTCTCTAGGACCCCCTCTTACCAATGAAATGTCAGTCAGCCTGGACAAAAGCAATCAAATGTATGAAGTAGAAAAGTAGGGCAGAGGTCATTCCTCAGGGCTTAGGGCAAAAATCTCTCAAGCTGTTACTTCACAGAACTAAGACAAAAGACCACATAAAGGAACTCATTTTTCTATACTGAGTTGAAGTCAGGTTCCTCTGATAAAACCCTGCTTTTCCCCACAGCTCTTAAGACCTGTTCTGAAATAATTACAAGCAGTATAGTGTCAAACATTGTACCTTTCCCACTAAATATGTCATACCGTTCAGGGACTCTGGACTAGTCTTATTTCTCTCTGTCTGCAATATCTAGCACAGGATGTGGATACTCAGTATTTTTATGAGTAAAATGTATGAGTGCTTTGTGATGTAGGTGAAAGGAATTCACAGAATTGTGGCTGGTTACCTAAAGTAGTTGCACACTGACTACTTAAAAGCAAAGCTTTTTTTTTTAAAATTACTTCTGTTAATTAGCAGAGCAGTTTCTATGTACAATAAATGCTAATGTTGAAATGGAATGAAATAATTTTCCTTCAGAACTTGAAAGACATTGCTGTACTGGTTTTGGCAAGCTATTTCTTGCTCTTTTACAGGAGATTGCTAGCTCCTACACCCTGGATTCTTTCTAGCTATTAGGATTTTTTTATGACCCTAGGTGTGAAAACAAATGTTTCTAAGTGGAAGACTTGGTACACTGTCTTTAAGGAAGAGGGGAGGGACACTGTTGCCAAGAATACAGGAATTCATGGCTGGAAAGGCAAACAAAGACAGAGTGAAAGAAACCGTTTGCTTGGGCAGACACATTTTTCAGCAGGCGAAGAGCCAGGCCAGGGTAGTAAGCTCCGTTCCTGAAGTTTACATCAGGCTGGCTTTTCTATGTAATATGGTGAAGTAGGGCGTATACTAGCTTCTAGGACTCCCATAGAAAAATACCACCAAGTGAATGCTTTATGAGAACAGGTATTTATTTTCTCTTAATTTGAGAGACTAAGAGACCAAATCAACTTCTCCGCATACCCCTTCTGAAGTCTCCAGGGGACAGTCCTTTCCTGTCCCTCCCCGCTCCTGGGAGCCCTAAGAAGTCCTCGTTGTAGAAGTATCTGTGCATAACTACATTTGTTCTGTGTATGGTGACCCTGAGACCCACTAGTCTGTGAGATGGAGAAAGAGCAGATGAGACAGAGGGAGGCAAGCACGAATGAGGGCAAAGAGAGAGGCTCCATGGAGGTCACCAGTGAAAGAAAGCCCAGAGCAGAACCTGCCCCTTAACCTTCTGAACTGTGAGGAAATAAGTAGCTGTTTATTAAAACCACCCATCTGAGCTGAGATCCAGTGATGAGTAGGATGTAACTGGGTGACGGTAGGGCAATGGAGATGTGTTCCACGGACTGAAAAGTGTGTGCAGAAGCTCTTTCTCTGCATCCCCTCTTTTTATGAAGATGTCACCAAGAATAGATTAGGACCCACTCTACTTGGTCGGCCTTCTGTTAGATTCCTTGACAACACCTTCATGTGCCATATTTCTAAACAAGGTCCTGTCCACATGTCCCGATGGTTCAGGTGCACAGTTGAGCCGATGGCAGAGAGCGTGGCTGAGGCTGCCTGTCTGCGCTGCCTGCACTTTGTGTGATGCCTCCCCGCTAGCCCCTTCTCCTGACTGGCTTCCACCCTTGTCGTTTTGGAAGCTCCGTTTCCTCTTCCATGATCATGGTGCCCAACTTTCAGGACTGCCGAAGGACCGAAAGAAATGGCCATGAAGGCCCTTAGCACAGTGCCTGGCACCTAGGATAGCTCAAGGCGTGGAGTTTGTTGTTAGTTCCCATCATTCTTATTCTGCTTCATTCCCCCCCTCTGTTTTTATTTGTTTCCTTTGTTTGTATTATATTTTTAAGAGCTATTTTAATTTTTTTTTTCTTGGTAGAAAGCACAGAAAGGTCAAGGCACACAAATCAGTGTTACTTTATTGTAACATCTTAGTCCCGACAAGTTTATCCTTATAGTGTAGCAATAGTGGCTGGATATTCAGTGTCTGTTCTGTTCCAAGCATATTTTTATCCTTTCCTTTTTTTACCCCCTATCTCCTTCTAATTTAGTTTGATTGGGATGAGACATTAGTAGTTCAGTGGTAGAATTCTCACCTTATATGAGAGTGTTCTGAGTTCTATTCCCAGCCAGTGCACTTCTTGGCAAAAGTTATCACCCATCTGCCAGTGAAGGCATGTGTACTATAACGATACTGAACAAACTTGAGCAGAACTTCCACTAGGAAGAAAGGCCTGGCAGTCTCCTTCTGAAAAATCAGGGACTATAACCCCCCTGGATCACATGTCTGATGCATGACTGCTCATGAGGACGGTGCAGGAGTGTTTTCTTCCTTTGCACCTGGGTTGTCAAGGGCTGGGCTCTGACTCAGTATCCACCATAAGAGCAACAGTAACACCGATGATCATTTGTGAAGGAGAAAGTTGTCCACAGTGGATAGGATGATTTTATGTAGGAAGACAGTCTTAACAGTTTGGGTCGTTTGCTTAAGGTTACCTTGTTAGTGAGAGACGGAACTACAATTTGAACCTCAGAGCTATTTAACTTCTGTTTTCCACATCATCCCCTCGCCTCTAGACTTCTCCCTCTCTTGCAGAGAAGCAAAAAAAGAGGAAGAAAATAAGGTTCTTTTTGGCAGGGAATAGAGTTCTTGGTACTTTTGAGATCATCACTGATACTTTGGGGTATTAAAAAACCAACAACCAGAAACCCCAAGAGTACAAACAGGGTTTGTGTTCTTCTTTGATGTTTATAAACGAGAAAAGCAGAGAGTTATGCGTGGGTCAGGACATTTGGGTTTCTGTTTGGTTTTTGTTTGTTTTTTTTCTGTTAAAAGTTGAAGAAATCAGGGAAGGCTTCCCAGGAGAGGTGATTAATGAGCTGAGATAAAATTATGAATAACATTTAACTGGGTAAAATTAGGGGAATATGTTCTAGAGAGAGTGAAGAGTACATCCAGTGGATGAGAGAACAGGACACGTGAAGGCCCATGGGAAGCTTGTTTGGCAAGACATAGAAGAAGGCAGAGGGGTTCAGATGAGTTAGGAGGAAGCTGATTCTTAAGGGCCTGGAAGAGCATGGTACAGAGGTTGACTTTCATCAGATAAATCTTCAAAAGCGATTGCAGATTTTATTCTGGTAACTGGTATCATTGGATTTGCTTTTGAAGAGGATCTCTGGTTGTCATGTGGACATTCCATACAGAATGGAAGAGGAGGTTTGGAGAAGCCAGTTAGGAAGCTCCTGCAGGAGTAGAAGGGAACAATGATGGGAGTTTATTCGAGGGTTGTGTTGAAGATACAGAGAGGTGCGTAGAGTTTGGAGGTAGTTTGGAAACTTAGTTGGCAGGACTCAGTGGTGGACTGGGTGAGAAAAGCTTATCCGATGAGCTAATCCAGGGCACTCTACTCATTTTAACGATCAGCCGATTAGTGACCTTAAATCTGTTAGAAATATATTCCCCTTTGTCTTGCAAGGTAACATATTTTCCTTCTATTTCCTGTGAAAGTACAGGTAATCATTTGTCTTAGGAGACTCAGGTATTGGCTTCGAGTTGGGCTCTGAGGTAACAGGAACTCTAGTCAATAGTTAACGTATATATGGTCTAATCCCTTTAGTCCATGTTCTCAGAATGGCCACAGAGAATGTGCCCAAATAGTCTGATGGAAGAACACAGGGCTCCTAAAATTTCAAGGTAGGAACCGCCTCCGTGAGGACCCTAGCTGCTGCTGGTGGCTCACAGGTTCCTGCATCACAGGTCTTGCACATTTGGTCCACTGGCTTACTTAGAATGTAAGGTGGATTTGTCTTCATTCTGTTGCCCTTTTCTCTGGGCAGGAGGGAATTTCAGCCCGGAGCTTTCACTTTAGACCAAACTTCCTCATTCCATGTTGTGGTCTGTTCTTCACCCAGCGAGAGGCACAGAGAGCGGCTAGTGCCAGGAGTCCAGGCGCTCAGAGCTTGAGAGACAAGCAGAGACTCTGTAAAGGATTTTGCCTTCATCAGACCAGAGTGTTGGCCACATTTGTGGTCAGCCTGTGGTGGGTATTTTTTGTAAAATAAGCACTGAGTTGACCTTAGGCTTCTGAAATGTTGCATTGCAGGCATACCTGGAAAGTATTTGGCGAAGTGTCATCTCACGTACTTTGGACATGTTTCTAGGAGAAGCTGTTCCTTAGAGAGGGATGTAATGATAGGAGGGTCAGTGAAATAGGGGAAGGAGGGGAAGACCCTCTATGAGATGACTGATGTAGTCTCTGCAGCAGTGGGCTCTCGTGTGTCAGAGGTGGTGAAGATGACACAGGATAGGACACGATTCACATGTGTGGTTCATAGAGTCACTGAGAGTCGTACTCAACTTGATGGCACTTAGCAGCAACAACAACTCCTTTTTTGTGGCTGCTGTAACAGATTACAACAAACATAGAAGCTTAAAACAATATACATTTATTATAGAAGTGGCCTGAAAGCAAGGTGTCAGCAGGACTGTTCCTTTTAGGTGGCTCTCAGGGAGATTCCTTCCTTTTCCAGCTTCTAGAGGCTGCCTTTGAGCTGTGGTGCTGGAGAAGAGTATTGAATGTACCATGGACTGCCAAGAAAACAAACAGATTCATCCTGGAGAGGGTTAAACCAGGCTACTCCTTGGAGGCAAGGATTCTGGGGCTTCATCTGACATACTTTGGACATGTCGTAAGGAGGGACAGGTCCTTGGAGAGGGACATCATGCTTGGGAGGGTGGAGGAACAGCAGAGGAGGGGAAGACCCTCTATGAGATGGATTGATTCAGTGACTGGGATAATCAGGATGGGTGTGTCAGAGGCAGGGCGATTGGCACAGGATAGAGCAGGGTTTAGAGCTGTTGTACATAGGGTCGTTGTGAGTCACAAGTGACTCGACGGCACATAACAACAGAGGCTGCCGGCATACCTTGGCTTGTGACCTCCTCCATTTTCAAAGCTGACCATGTTCTATCTCAGGGCTTTCCTTCTGTCACATCTCCCACTGATCATGATGAAAATTTGCCTTTTGCTGTCTCCCACTTTAAAAAAAAAAATTTATATTGGTTTGCTTATAAAGTTCATATACATTGTGTTTCACACTATTCTTCATTTATGGTTTTGGGGTTTTTTTTCCATACAATCATTCCAATGCATTATGTTTTATAGAATTAATCACCATTGGCTATGCCCACCATTCCTCTGTCTTTTCAGGTCCCCACCAGATCCCTCGCTTTTCCTTTACTCCCTCTCTCTACCCACCAAATTGTATAACCCTGTGAGTTCGCCTCTCTCTACCCACCAAATTGTATAACCCTGTGAGTTCGCCTCTACCCACCCTCACCCATAGGTTTTTGGACATCATGCTTGGTAGGGTGGAGGGACAACGCAGGAGGGGGAAGACCGTCTATGAGGTGGATTGATTCAGTGACTGGGGTAATCGGGATGGGTGTGTCAGAGGCAATGCGATTGGCACAGGATAGAGCAGGGTTTAGGGCTGTTGTACATAGGGTCGCTATTAGTCTCAAACAACTTGACAGCACATAACAACAAACAACAACACCCTCACCCCTCTGCTCTTACCCTTCCACCTCCTTCCACTTTTAAAGGACCCTTATGATTACACTGGCTAATCCAGGAGACTTTCCCTAGTTGAAGTTTAGCTGAGTAGTGACTTTAATGCCATTTAAAGTCAATTCCCTTATGCCACGTGAAGTAACAATTTATAGGGTCCAGGGATTAGGACATGAACATTCTTCTGGAAGTGGGCATTATTCTGCTTTCTGCCATCAGCTATGGCTCTCATAGACTTTTTGAATCTAATGGGAATGTAAGAGTTACTTAACTGAATTTAAATCAACACCCATTATAGCGCCCCCCCCCCCAGTTGATCAAGTTTCTCCCTTATGATTGGGAGCTCACTACCTTCCACATTTTATGTGGACAGTTCTCACACTTGAAGAATTCTGCCTTGGAGAGAATTGCATTGCCCCAGGGGCCTCTTTGTTCTGGCCTTGCTCTTTATGCCTCTCTGGTCAAGTCCAGTTCTTTTCTGTGGGACTTTTCCTACAGGATTTCCTTTTGAGATTAGAAGATGGTCAACATATTCTTTCTCACCAGGAGAATGTTCTATCCAGCAAGGGTGATGCCATCAGGCTCTGGGCCAATTCATGGCAAAGGGGAATTCATTTCAGATGGAATTAAAGTCACTAATCAGCTGACCTTAAGTTAGAAAGTCTCCTGGATACACTCATGTAATCACAGAGCTTCTTCAGAAGTGCCAGAAAGAGGAAGAAGAGTCAGGGTCAGAGGGAGAGGCATCTTGTAGAAAGAAAATCTGAGGTACAACACAGCTGCCTTTGAAAATGGGGGGAGGAGGTCACAAATATTTGTCACTGAGCCAGATGATGCTTTTGGTCGTCTTCTTTTTAAATAGTTTATTTAACTTGTACCAATTTTCTCAATATAACTCAGTGATGCTGGTTACTTTCTTTGCATAGTGTAATCATTCTTATCCTCCTGAGTTGTTCTGGCATGATAAACTCACTCCTTGTTAGGTGGGTTTGTTTTTTTTTAAATGGTAAAGATAAGTTTATTAGAAAGTTATATCCCCAAAGGGACGGACCTCTCTCTTTGAAATATGGAGGGGAGGCCCTTGTTAAAGTTCTTATCCAGCCTTTTGAATTGCTGTTATTAGTGTGTGTGATCCTTTTTATAGATGGATCGTATAAGAGCACAAAGCTAAGGCAGACTTCCTTTACTAATAAGCTATTCTTTACTAGAAAGCTAAACTGCCATTTGGTTTCACGAAAACTTCACTTCTGGAGATATTTTTGGCCTTGGTTATAATGATTGCCTCATGGCAGTAGCTCCTGGGGTTTATCCACCCTCCATGACTCCAGAGAGTCTGGATTCCATGAGAATTTGAAATTCTGTTCTTCCTTTCCCCCTTTTTGATTGCTGTTGTGATGACTACAAGCCATATGCTCCTATGAACAACAGATCTGAACCTTGTTCTACCCTGTGCCTCCCACACGGCCACTCACACGCTTGGGCCACTGTTGCAGTCACTATGTCAGTCCATCTTGTTGACTGACCCTCTGCCTTTCCCAGCGTCATGTCTTTTTCCAAGAACTTGTTCCCCCTGACAGTGTGCCAAAAGTATATGAAACCAAGTTTCGCCACCCTTCCTGTAAGGAGCCACCCTGATAGCATTTCTTCGGAGAAGGATTTTGTTTGATTTTTGGCAGTCCATGGTATAGTCAGTAGTCTTCATCAACACTACAGTTCAAAGACACCTAGTCTTCATCAGTCATCCATATTAATTTTCCAACTTTTAGCTGCGTAGTAAGCTAAAATACCATGGCTTGGATAAGGGGCACTGTAGTCCAGAAACTAACATTCTTCCTCGTTAGCAGCTTGTAGAGGTCCTTGACAGCAGCTTTTCCCAGGGTAGCCTGCCTTCAATTTCTTGACTGCTGTCACTATGAATGTTGATTGTGGATGCAAGTTAAGTGAAATTCTTAACTTCAGTCTTTTCTCCACCTATCATGATTAATGTTCCATGCTAGAGTCCTTGGTCAGAATGTTCAGTAGTGATAACTGACCACTATTCATCTTTCAGAGCTTTACAATGGTCAGGTCCTCACGGTGCTCCGGATCGACAACACCTGTGCACCCATCTCCTTTGATCTGGGGGCTGCAGAAGAGCAGCTGCAGACCTGGGGCATTCAGGTGAGTGAGGCCCTACTTTTTTCTCCTCCCCCCCTTTTCTTTCATTTCATTTTTCTCCTTCCTGTTAGCCACCAATCAGTCCAGTTACTCACAAAATATTTCTTACAATTTGTCATCTGTAAAATGAGGACACTATGAATACCTCTTATATAAGGTTTTCTGTGAATATTCAATGGAACGAAGCCTGCAGTGCTCTTGGGCTGTCTTTGGCAGACAGTAAATACTTAATAAACCATTGCAGTTGCTGTGGTTAAGTCTCCTAGGTGTGGTTTTTCGCTCTTTCCTAAGCCCCCAACATGATTTATCTTTTCCTTGTCGGGGAGGATTAATTACTGATGGGGAAGATACATTGTTAATTTTACCCTGGAGATTTTAGAATTTGCTTCTTTAAAAGTGAATTGCAACCTTAGGGGGCAATGAGTTTGTGTTAATGCAGGAGGAATAGCTCAGAAAAGGAGGGTGCAAATGGCTTCATAACTCTTAAGACTGTAATCAGTGTCATTGAATTGGATGTGTAGAAGCTGTTGAATTGGTATATATTTTGCTATGTATAATCTCAGCATCAACAAAATAAATTAAAGGGAATAGAAGGGAAATTGGAGCATAATGAGAGTTGGTCCTCCCAGGCGCACAGCCAGAAGTCACTGTGCTTTTTAAAAATTATTTTTTTCTGTTTTATTTGCGTGAAAGTTTACAAATCATATTGGTTATTCATTCACTACATTCTTAATATAATACACCATGGCCAGACCTAGCCTGGTGGCATTCACAAATCATTCCTTACCTTTGGGAGTTTTCTTCAATAACAGAGAATGCTAACCTTCGTCTTTGACATTTTGAAGAGCTAATTTTGTTGAAACAAATTCTAATTTGTTCTATTAAACACAAGCCAAAAATCCCCAAATTGATTAACAGGCGTGCTTTGTTTCATTGTGTTTCACCTTTTTTGTGCTTCCCCAATGCTGCGTTTTTACAAATGAAAGGTTTATGGCAAGTCTGTCAGTGTCGTTTTTCTGACTGCAGATGCTCACTTCGTGTCCCTGTATCACATTTTGGATCGGAGGATGACTTATCAACAATCTGTGTTATGCAGATGACACAGCCTTGCTTGCTGAAAAGAACGTGAAGTGCTTGTTACAGAAGATCAAAGATCACAGTCTTCCATATGAATTACATCTCAGCATCAAGGAGACAAAAATCATCACTGCAGGGCCAAAAGGCTACATCATGATAGAGGGAGAAAAGATTGAAACTGTCAGTGTCTTCATTTTACTTGAATCCATAGTTTATACCCTTGGTGCTAGCATTCGGGATCAGGAGACGTATTGCTCTGGGCAACTCCACTCTCAGGAACTTCTCTAAATTGCTGAGGGGCAATGGTATCAGTTTGTGTGCCTTATTCAGGTCATGATCTTGTCAATTACTTGTTGTCCTTCTGAAAGCTAGACAGTGAATAAGCATGACAGAGAAGAACCGACGCCTTTGAAATATGTGTTGGAGAAGAGTATTGATTATCTCAGAGAATTCAAAATGAATAAACATATATGTCTTAGAGAAAGTACAGCCGGAGTTCTCCTTGGAGGCAAGGATGGTGAAGCTTCATCTCACTGACTCTGAGAATGTTGTTAGGCGAAGCTATTCCTTGGAAAGGAATATCATGCTTGGGAGGTGGAGGATAAGCGAAAAAGAGGAAGACCCTTGAGATGGATTGACGAAGTGATTGCAGCATTGGCCTCAAGTATGACAGATGGTGAGGATGGCACAGGATAGGACAGGGTTCAGGTATATTGTAAATAGTGTCACGTGTATGTACCAGAAAACCCCAAATTTTGTATAATTCCCTTTATTGCCATGTTCTGTTTACTTTATTGTGATGGTCTGGAACCTGATCCTCATCGCCTTTGACATATACTTGCATTTAAAAAACAATTTTAGCATCAATAAAGGAAAATGCTCCATATTGACAATATGAAGTACAAATCAACTCAAGAAAACAAAAGTTTTCACCACTGAACCAATAGGAAGCATCATGATAGATGGAGAAAAGCTTGAAATTGTCAATAATTGTATCTTAGTTAATCCAGAATCAATATCCTTGGTACCATCAGTGACAAAATCAGGAAACATATTCCACTGGGCAAGTCTGCTATCAGGGACCTTTCCAAATTACTGAGGAGAAATGATGCCAACTTGAAGACTAAGGTGTGCCTGATTCAGGTCATAGTTTTTTAAATCACTTGCTATGCATCTGAGAGCTGGGCAAAGACTAAAGATGACAGAAGAATTGATGCTTTTGAGCTTTGAAGTTGGAGAAGAGTACGGGATATCCCATGGATGGCCAAAAGAACAAACAAATATGTGTCAGACAAAGTGCAGTTCGAATGCTTGTTGGAGGCAAAAATAACAAAGCTTCATCTCATATACATTGGACTGTGTTGGGAGAGGCCACTCATTTGAGAGGAACATCATGCTTGGAAAGGTCATTGACACAGTAACTACAGCAATGCGTCATTAATGATGAGGATGGCAGGGGCTAGGCCAGGGTTCAGATGTGCTGTTCATAGTGTTGCTATGAGTCCTACTTGACGACACCTAACAGCACAAGGAGGAACAACATCACACCGACACACTAGTTGGGCTATCTGTTCATGTTTCTTTCAGTCTGTTTGCGGAAGAATATTGCTCACTGTTCTGCTGACTCTGTTTTCTTAGCCAGTGAATGATTTGTATATTCTGCCATGTTCTAAATGGCATTTAATGATTAAATTCTCTTTTCTTAGGAAGTAAGCTTTCTTGGGCCTTTATACTGATATCTTTCCTGCCTGTTTGAGTAGGAAGACAGACATTCAGCATGTGGACTGTAATGGAAAGTTGACATGGGGGAGCTCTGGTGCCCTAGTGGGCAAAGCGTTGCACTGCCAACCTAAAGACAAGCAGATCTAATCCACTGGTTACTCTGTGGGAGAAAGATGGGAAATCTTCCATGCAGTTGATAGCCTCTGAAAACCCACTGGAGTTGACCCTGTGAGTCAGTTTGACTTGACAACATTGAATTGAGTTTTGAGTTTAATAGTTGCCAAAAGGATCTCAGGTGGCACAATGGCTAAATATTTAACTGTTAACCAAAAAGTTGGTGATTCAAACCTACTAACCGCTTCACAAGGGAAAAGGCTTGGAAATCTGCTCCCATAAAGATTTTTGTCAAGAAATCACCATAGAGCCTATTCTGCTCTGTTCTCATGGGTCACTGAGTAAGAATCGATTTGACAGCAACAAGTACTTAACCATTTTTGTAGTTATACAGTTGTTGTTGGGGAACATTGATCGAAAGTGACCCATAGCTGACAGCTGACCCTCCAGTGAATTTTGAGAGGCAGTAAATCAGAAGGGAGGAGATTCCCTCCTCGCTCCCATGGAGGAGCTGGTGGATTTGAACTGCATATCTTTTCATTGACAGTGCAGTTCCTTACCATTAAACCACCAGAACTCCAGTAATACAGTATTGGACCATAAAATGTCAGATATTCCCTACGGGACCAGCACTGTGTCAAAGACTGTCTCATACATTACTGTCTCATTAATGTATATAATGTATATACCAGCCCTGTAATGGGTGCATGCTTAATATCCTCTTTTTGCAGATGAGAAAGCCAAGGCATAGAGAGATGGAGTTGATTGTTGTAGGCCACACAATGTGTGAGTGGCAGCGCCTGGATTTGATCCCAGGGCAGTCTGGTTGCAGGATTGACATCCTAACCATTAGGCTGTCCTGTTTCTGCTGTGAGGATCCTTCTCCTAGGAGTCCTCCTGGATCTCCGGCGGTTCCACCTGCCCTGTGATTCTCATCCTCCCCTGAGCTGCATTTTCTAACTTCCCTCTGTGCTGTTGGCTCCTTAATGAACCCCCTACAGGGTAGCACAGAATATGTCTAATCCTTCTCCCATGTGAGTGTCATATGAGCTGGAGATGACGTGCTTGATAGTGGGGTGGGAGTGGGGAGGGGTTCTCTGTCAGCTGACTAATTAATCTCTCTCTCTCCATGGCCAAGCAGGTCCCGACTGACCAGTACAGGAGCTTGGCCGAGAGTGCCCTCCTGGAGCCCCAAGTGAGAAGATACATCATCTACAACTCAAGGCCAATGCGACTGGCCTTCGCTGTGGTGAGGAGGGAGGGTGGTTTGCACACTGACCTCTCCTGTGGTCCCCTGTCTATTCAATAGACAGGTTCATTTCTGCTCTAATTGTGTATTTTACACACACACACACACACACAGAGAGAGAGAGAGAGAGAGAGAGACCCAGGATTTGAACCTACAGAGTCTGAGTGCAGTATTTGTACTCTCAATCACTGCTGTTTGCTGCTACTTTGTAAGAGCAGTTAAATAGGATACCTGACTTTTGTGTCTCATTTCTAGGGAATAGGGGAGGAGATGGGAGGCAACAGTTGTTAATTCTCTGATAAATGCTCAACTGTTACAGAGGCTACTTTGTTCATCCTAATGCCAGCCCTGTGAATAGGCATTATTAACTCCATTTTACAGTTGAGGACACTGAGGCTCTGGGAAGCGTTGTAATGTGTCCAAATCCACATAACTAATGAAAGGTCAGTGTGAGCTTTGAACTCATATTTCTCTGACAAAATCTCAGTACAAGGCTCATGTTGTTAAGTTCCATCAAGTCGCAGGCGACTCATAGCGACCCTATGAAGGAGAGTCCTCGACACTTGGGTGCCTTTCATCCTCTCTTCAGGTTCATAGGGTTTCTGGAGGCAAGCTATTATGGAAGTGGATGCCACTCCTTCTTCCAAACAAGGCTCGTATTTAATATCAGAGAAATGAGCATTAGTAGTAGTTAGAATAGTAAATCACACTACTTTGTTTATAAACATGAACTTGACCCCTTTCCAGGTCCCTCGGTGTCCGCTCTGGGCTGTCACCGCCTTATTAACTAGCTGGATCCAAGGAGGAGGGTGTCAAAACTGACCAAAGAGCATGTGCTTGGATGAGCTTCTTCATTCAAGGCTGGTGTTCCTGACTGTGCCCTCTCTCTGGCCTCTTGCAGGTGTTCTACGTGGTGGTGTGGGCCAATATCTACTCTACCAGCCAGATGTTCGCTCTGGGGAACCACTGGGTGGGCGTGCTGCTTGTGACGCTGGCTGCGGTCAGCCTTACCCTGACTCTGGTCCTCATCTTCGAGAGACACCAGAGGAAGGTGAGACACTGGGGAAGCCCCTTGCTGCCCTCTCCAGAAGGGCCTGGACTGGCATGACAATTCCAAATCCAGTTTTCCTCTTTTATCTTCTTCCAAGCACAAAAATTCACACTGGTCCATACGCCCAGTGACTAAAGGAATGAAAATGATGTGCATGATTAAGTGCGTCTCCATCTTTGCTGTCTAACCTCTGGGGTTGTTTTTTTCTGGAAGCAGGCTATGTTTGAGAGAAGGTCTGGGAGAAGAACACTTCTAGCCAATATATCTCCTTCCCTTTCAGTTACAGGGCACTCTGGATGCTAGTTCCCACATCTCTAGTCTACAGGGTGCTTGGGATTAGGTGCTAGGGAGAAAGCTATGTAATTCCCTTTTGCAATGTATGAACTGAGACCTGTGCTCTGTTTGCACTCATATCTCATTGAATCCCAACCTCAACCTTTTAGGCAGTGAGTGGGGTGGTTAGGGAGTTTGGTAGCTGGTATGTGACAGAGCTGACGTCCAAAGCCGAGTCCTCTAATTCATGATGATGCTCAGAAAGGAGATTGATCCCACCCAGCTTAATGTGGAGTTCTGTCTTCTCTCACTTACTGAGCACATCATTTGTTAAATGCTTTGCATATGTTGTCTTATGATTTGCATATACTATCTCGTTCAATCTTTGGTTAGAAGTTGTTACTCTCTTTTTACAGGCTCGGAAATGTAGGCTCAGAAAGGTTCAAAGTCATGCAGCTAATAAATGACAGCGTTGCAATGCACGGCTGGGACTCCCAGATCCCAGGCCATGTTCTCAGCAGTACCCTTGCTAGATGAGTTTTCTATGGCTGCTGTAATGTGTTGCACAGATTTCATGACTTAAAGTCACACAGAGTTATTATCCAACAGTTCTCTGATTTAGAAGTCTGACACAGGCCTCTCTGGGCAAAAATCAAGGTGTCAGTAGAACTGCGTCACTTTCTGAAGTCCCTAGAAGAGACTCTATTTCCTTGCCTATTTTCAAATTTCTAAATCTACCAGTGTTACTGCTTCCTCCACCTTTAGAGGGGTCATTGGGGAGTCAAATGCTTCTAATTGCTGTCAGGTCAGAACCAACTCATAGCTGACCCTCCAGTGGGTTTTCAGAGACTGTCACCCCCTAGGGAGGAAATTGTTAATCTTTGTTCCATGGAGCCGTTGGTGGTTTTGAACCACCAGAGAGGTGTCACTCTTGATTTAGCAGTACAACTTCTTACCCCTTAGGCCACCAGAGCTGTCTTTCTCACAGTTGTCGTTGTGTACCTTCCAATTGGGACTGACCCTTCAGTGCATTTGCAGAAGCAAGATAATTGCATGTGAGGAGATTGCCCATCTTTCTCCTGTGGAGCAGCTGGTGTATTTGAACCACTTGCCATCAGGTTGGCAGTGTAGTTCCCTACCACTAGGCCACCAGAGCGCCATCTCTTGGAGTTGTGGTGGTGATGGTGTACTGTTGAGTCAGAACTGACCCAGGAGCTTGTCCATCGTCCCTTGGAGCAGCTGGTGAACTCACACTGCATGCCTTCGGGATTGCAGTGCAGATTCTTACCACTAGGCCACCGGAGAAGGCTAGAAATCCGACTTGAGACTGCCAGGTCTGGGGGAAAGCTTTCTGTCAGCTCGGAGAAGGGTCCTTGTCTCTTCAGCTTCTGCATGAAGTTATCCTGCATCTTGGCATCTGTCTTAACTCTATCCTTGTTTAAGCTTTTACATTTCAAGACAGATGGATTAAAAATATAAACTATACCAATCTTGCCTCATTAACATAACAAAGACAATCATTCCCAAATGGGATTATGATCACAGGCCTGGAGGTTAGAATATACGGCACATAGTTTTCTGTTGACATCCAAAGACTTGCTTGGCTCAGACTCTCAAATTGTACAAAACCATATCTGTGAAGCGCAATGAAACAAAGTAGGCCTGTAGGAAATTTATGGCTTAATCGCTCTGAAAGGACCTTTGTCAGGCTTTGCCATGAGGCTGATAGGATCATGCTGCCCTTGGGCTCCATTGAAGCTTTGATGGCCCTTGTGCTTGGTTTGTAAAAAAAGAAATGAGTGGCAGCTCTTGTGCAAGAAAGTCCTACTGGAGGGGGATGGGTGAAGAAGCAAAGTGTTCTGCTTTGGCAACAGCAAGCAAAAACCCTGACACCTGCTAGGTGCTACATGGATGTAGATATAACGAATACTCAAGTCATATCGGAGAATGGCTACTGTGTCCCTCTGCTGCCTTCTGTCCTCTCCTTCCCTTGTTTGGTGCTTATGAGACCTCTGTGAGACCAGGTAACATGCTGGTCATGGGGGCACAGAGATAAACATGTACATGAACTCTGTACTCATAGGTGCAGACTGGAGACCCCCATGTGCTTATCAGTGTTTAGTCATTCAAAAACACCCCCTCTAGTTCCCTTTCTTCCTGATAATGACCTCCAAAGAGTGGGCACCTACTGTGTGCTCTGTAGTTGGGGCCTCAAACAATTTTGTAAAGAGGCAGACGAATTTAACCATTGCTAACTCTGTAACCTTGAGTAAGCGATTGCTTCAGTCTTCTGAGCCTCAGTTTTCTCATCCATACAGTGGGATGGTAACAACTGTATCTCCCTCACAGGGTCACTATAAGAAAGAAATGATTAAATACATGCAAAGTGCAAATCATAGTGTCATAAGGCAGTTGCTCACTAGGTATTAACTGTTACTATTATTGACTTCCTTCCTTGAAAACCAGATTGTTAATAAAGCCGATGGAATTCTGGGAGATGGGTGTTACCTGATCAAGAAGAGGAGAAGGTGGTCTCAGATCCTGCCTTGTGCTAATCTATGGGGTTTCTTGATGCTGAGTTAGGGGAGGAAAGGTGAAAACCTGACTCTGGCTGTGTGTTGAGCCCAGGTGTTTGTGCCGCAGGCCCGGGGCTGAATGCCCTTCCTTGAAAGCCTGACTTTGTTTTGTCAAGCTGGAAGCTGCAGTTTGGAGAGGTTAGGGAGCTCACTCTCACAGGTGCCCACACTACCTGTCTCACATCCTTTGGGTCTCAGTGGAAGGGTCTCTCTTTCTCTGGATCCCTTGTTGTGCAGGATCATGAAATTCCACTGTCCCCTTTTGCCATTCTTACTGTTACTTTCCTGCCTGCATCATGCACCATCCCTGGCAGACTGGAGGTCGGGCCATGGGACTGAGTGTTTGTTTTTACAGGCCAACACCAACACGGACCTGAGACTGGCGGCTGCCAACGGAGCCCTCATGAGACACCGGGTGCTGCTGGGGGTGACGGACACGGTGGAAGGCTGCCAGAGCGTCATCCAGGTACTGTGTGCCCTGCCTGGCTTCACGTTCTCCCAGAGTTCACCTGCATGGTGTCTCCAGGAGTCTGCTAATGAGATGCCTGTGGGCAGCCTCTCTCTTCCTCCCTGCCTCAGGGTTTCTTCCCAGAGACCTCTCTCACTGCCATAACCTGTGCGGCACGGCTGGAGGCCCAGCTCAGATAATGCTCGAGTCACTCTCTTCCTTCAGCATTCATCTCAGCAAACAGAAGGGGCCTCCTCTGAGCTGAGCCTCTGCTTTTTAAAGTTCTGTTGTTGGTTTTTTGGTTTTTTTTTCTGTATGTGTGGTAAAAACATATATAACATATTTGCCGTTTCGACAATCTTCAAGTATACAATTCAGGCGTTAACTGTGTTTTTGCACTCTCACCCCATCTGTATCCGAGTGTCCCAAATAGGTATTCATGCTGTTCGGAAGGGTTTGGGTCTGTCTAGGAGGCTAATTGACTTGTAGGGAAGGTGGGACCACTCATAGCCGTTGGGAACAGCGTTGGATAGTTTGTCAGACCTGAATACCAACCCATTTGCCTACAAGCCCTACAAATGAGAGCCAGCCATGTCCTGGTTCTCTGAGAGAGAGGGAAGAGAATGGAATGTACCTGCCAGAGAGCAAGATAAAATGAATGTTCTTCAGAAAGGCAGGCCTCCCTGTATACAGCAAAGTAAAATTAATGTTCTTGAGAAAGGCAGGCCTCCCTAACTTCAGACTGGAACCTTGGACAGCCCATTATTGGTTCCTGGAATAGCCTCTTAACTCACCCTTGAGGAATGAATGCATCCCTGCCATTCCTATTGCTCGGCCAGTGAACTTTACTTTTAGGAGCCAAACAGGTTCGTAAGAGTGAGTATTAAGTCCAGTTTTCATAAGCAAACCAAATGTGAGTAGCCCTCTGGGAGAGACTTGGAGGTCAGGGCTGGCTTGGAGCCTGGGTCTCATGCTGTCTCCTCCCCTCCCAGCTCTGGTTTGTCTACTTTGACCTGGAAAACTGTGTGCAGTTCTTGTCTGACCACGTTCAAGAGATGAAGACCAGCCAAGAGGTAAGATAGCTTACGTAAAACAGCCCAAAACAAAACCCAAACAGCCAAAAACAGGAGGCCTGGTTTATAGAAGTCATAATACCTCCAGGTTGGAAAAATATCTAAGAAAAAGTGACTTGGAAGGAAGAACACATAGGTGGAATCAGTGGATGTTTTTGTCTAGGCAAATTATGGCAGTTTTGACCACTCTCTTAAAAATATTCATTATGCAACAAATGCTGGCAAGGTTGTGGAGAAACTGGAACCCTTATTCACTGTTGGTGGGAATGTAAAATGTTGCAGCCACTATGGAAGGCGGTATGGCACTTTCTCAAAAAGTTGCAAATAGAGGTACCATTTGAACCAGCAATTCCACTACTGGGAATATATCCCAAAGAGACCATAACTGGCATGCAAGCAGATATATGCACACCCATGTTTATC